GTGAGTTAAAGTCAAAACCCAGAGCTATCTCAGCACACTCAGACGCTACGCTCACTGCTCCAGATGGATTTTCTATTTCAGAGACATCAGAAAGAAAAACACTCATCTATTATTCATCGCCATGGAGATAATTTAACCTCTCCATCACTTTTAGCGATCCCCTACCTTAATTTACCATGACATTCAAACACTTTACGAGCTCTTCGCAGAACAGAAGGTCCATTTATTCACACGCGACGCAACAATTTGAGAAAAATGCCTCAGAAAAATCAAAGATTGCACTTGACTCGCTTTGCCCTTCTTGCTTTTATACTAATGTGGTATATGCAGACGGACTTTTAATTTTCAGTCAGCCAGCTCAAGTGCTTCCGGTGAACTGGCTTACCGTTACAAAAGCGCAACATTTAAGATCTGATTTCTTTAAAAATCTTCACAGCCTGATTGTAATACAATATAAAGTGGATCTCAGAACGGACAAGAAACACTGCGTTGAAATCTATTTTCCTCTTGCATGTCTTTAAAATATGCCAATTTATTTTGCCTCAGTATTTTCAATGAAGTTTCTGCACTCGCCTGCAGCTACTGATGATGCTTGCATTCACATGGTCTTCTAATTTTACGCTTGATCAACTAAATTAATGTTTAGGTTTGTTTAACTGGCTGTATTTTAATTGCATTACAACATGGATGCTAAAAAAGTAACCGTATGAAATTGAAATTAGTCACATGAAGCTTGCACCAGAAGATTATCTGTGGCTAAAAACACTAAGGGCTCTATTTTAATGTTTTAGGGGCAAAGTCTAAAGTGCATGGTGCAAAAGGGCTTGTCTGAATCTACTTTCGCTATTTTAAGGATGGAAAAATATGTTGTGCTTATTCTCTTAATGAGTCCTGGGTGTGTTTTGAGCATAACGTGCATTAAACCAACCAGATTCTCGTCTCCCATTCCCTTTTAGAGTCAGTTGCTTTGCGCCATGGCACATTTGCTATTTACATGGTGGACCTTGTAAGTGTAAAAACAACACTTTATAGTGAGAAAACAGTTAAACAGAGCATCTGCAGCGCGATGATAAAGAACGAGCCTCCTTCATTCAGCCTCTTTACTTTCTCTTTAATACTAAATTTACTATAGTATTTCTCAAAAACGTAATATCATTTAATTTAAATACTATTACAACTTCTTATTTCATGTGAGTTGAATCGTATCTTTAGAACCATATAACATCATTGAAAGCAGCTCCTACATAACTCATAACCGTTTCTTATATAAAAAAACAAACTACAGAGCACCTAGCGCAGTCCTTAGCTTAGCTAACAGTATTGAACATAGATAATTCATTCATTCATTTTCTTATCGGCTTAGTCCCTTTATTAATCTGGGGTCGCCACAGCGGAATGAACCGCCACATAGATAATTATTAAAAATATGAACTTACCCTCTGATTGCTTGATTCCTCCAACAACGTGAGCTGCCCTGTGTGCTGATGTACAGAAACGTCCCATCTCATTGGCTGGCTCTAGCCAATAAACTGGCTTTGCTGCTCTTTTACTGGTATGTACATTTCCGTAGAACTAATGATATTTGACAAAAATCTTTACAGAAAAGAGTTGAAATAAACCCTAAATAATAAAATTTTGCACCTCAGTCCTGTTTCCCAGAGATGGGTTGTGGCTGGAAGGGCATCCGCTGCGTAAAAACATGCTGGATAAATTGGCAGTTCATTCCGCTGTGGTGACCCCGGATTAATAAAGGGACTAATCTGACAAGAAAATGAACGAATGAATGACCTCAGTCTTGTTGGCTGCTGGCACTGTTCATTGGTCAGGCATTAGCCAATAAAACAGCTTTACACCTGCCCCGGCCCCGCCCCACGCTGCTTGCACCTCTGACTCTGCGAGTGCACAGATGAGTTCTGCTACAGAGATCGCGGGAGATGTATAGCAAAAGTCAGAGCGCGAGAGAATTATAATTGTACTGATTAATCTGAGAGGTTGTGAGTGCCGACCTGTGGTTGTAGAGCGAATATGCAATCAAATTTGCCGTGCACACGTGTGTCTGTCATTTTGTATTTGTGAATGACATTTTTCAAATACACAACTATTAATCTGCAACTTCCAATTCAAAACACAAGTGTGTTGATTGTTGTGTGTGTGCGCAAACCGAGGGATTTAGCTGTTCACGTTAGATCTGTGAGTGTACATATCAACCTACACATACAACTATTATTAATACAAGTGCTCGCATTTAGATTTGCAAGCTTTCGAGTTTTGTTACTGATTCACCTTCATACTTCAACTATTCCAGCCTATGTTTTACACAGCGGATGCCTTTCCAACTGCAACCCAGTACTGGAAAACACTCATACACACTCATTCACACACACTACAGACAATTTATTCAATTTCCCAATGCAGGGCTTAACATTAACTTTTTTGACCACCAGCCACTGTGGCTAGTAGTTTTTCCAACAATACTAGCCACTCGCCATTTTCACTAGCCACAATTTTATTGTTAGGAAAATATATTTTCATGTGAAAACATGCAAAAAATAGCTAAATACTATACTTTTTATTTAACAAAACATATGCACAGCATATGTCCTGGCTAAAGGTCCCAGATCACCAGTTAACTACACATAAATAGGGAGTTATTCTCCCATTAAAGCAATGTTATTGTAAAAAATGATGATTAAACCCTATTAATGCAAAAGAAAGCAGGTAAAAAACATACTGTGTGATAATGAAAGGATGATCACACACGCATGGTTAATGATAGACCCCTAAATTATCTTTTCAAAGAATGGTTAAATCGAAAGCAACTGGCGCTGCTTACAATAAGTCAACTCTGGAACTCTTGAAAGCAAGACTGTAGGTGCATGTTCCTCCCTTTTTGTTCAGTCTATTTGAAATAGAATCGATCCCATCAGTTGTATTTCTAGACACAGTTGCTACACAAAAGGAAACGGGAGCGCGCGCGCGTTATAAACAGTCGCCTCAGCTGTTAGCGTGAGTGATTATCCTCTCATTCGGTATTCACCTGCTTTGCTCGCGCGAAGTTGCGAATGCAATTATTTTTGTCAGTTGTGTTACTTCTCGATCGTTTGTGCATGCATATTGGACCATCCTTATTGTCGAACCCTGCTTTTAAGAATTATTATCTGGGAAAATAACTTTCCACCAGCCAAAGTGGCTAGTGGGAGTGTCTGTCTTACCCGCCACCGCCGAAATCTACCCGCATTTGGCGGGTTGGCGGGTGTTAATGTAAAGCCCTGCCCCTATACAATAGTGCATGTGTTTGGACTGTGGGGGAAATCAGAGCACTCTGAGGAAACCCTCGCCAACAAGGGGAGAACATGCGAACTCCACACGGAAATGCCAACTGAACAGCCAGGACTCAAACCAGTAACCTTATTGCTGTGAGGCGACAGTGCTAACTACTGAGCCACCATGCCGCAAAAGTTTCATCTTCAAGTCAGATTGCATATTTTAGTCCTTGACTCTCTTGTAGAAGTCTGCATCTCAGCGTGAGTGCTAGAAAGCATTGACAGGAATCACACACACACACACACACACACACACTGGACTGGACTTTCGCCTGTCAACTTCCAGGCAGCGCGTCCTGACAGTAATACACTCCGGATGTGCGGCGCTGCTGTGGATTCTGACCGTAATGAAATTCTGAAGCAAAGTGAGTTTGGTCTGTGCTCGTGCGGCTTTGGCCGGGGCTGGTTTTTGTTCCTCCAGAGCGCTTTAACGCCTCTGCTTTATTAGATGAATTTACAGCGTCTGCGGCTGTGTTGTCTGCGTCACGCTTGTGTTCAATAAACCTCAGGCACACTTTATCTCCTCTCACTCACTCGCACAGGATTATACGTTTCTCGAGACGCCTGGAAATCACACTGAACTCCGGGAAAACACTAGACAGGCTTTCTGGCACCGCTCCACGTGCTTTCAGAACAACAGCTTTATCGTGGAAAAAAAGAGATTGCAGTAGGCTATATTACAGTGCTCAATGTGTCTGTTGTATACAGTTGAAAGCAGAAGTTTACATACACTGTATAAAAAGGCACAGAACCATTTAAAAGAAAAGTCAGATGTTAATGTGACTAAACTGTTTCTCTTTTAGGTAAGTCAGGATTATCACATTTGTTTCTGTTCTGCTTAATAGCAGAATAATGAGAGAGATGTTATTTGAGAAATTGTTATAACTTTTCTTGAAAGTCAAGTTTATATACAATAAGATTATTCTGCCTCTGAAAAAGCTCAGATGATGGTGTCGAGGTTTTGGAAGTTTCTGATTGGCTAATTGACAACATTTGAGTTCATTGGAGGCTGTAGAATAGTATTTAAGGAAAACCTCAAACACACTGCTTCCTTGTGTGACAACATGGAGAATCAACAAGCCAAAATCAACAACAAAGCCAGATTACAATTAGCTAAATCACACTGGGGAAAAGACTCATTTTTGGAGACATGTCCTGTGCTCTGATGGAACTAAGGTTGAACTGTGTTACATTTGGAGGACAAAGGGGAAAGCTTACAAGCCTAGGAACACCATCCCATCTGTGAAGTATGGGGGCGGCAGCATCATGTTGTGTGGCTGTTTTGCTGCAGGAGGGACTGGTCCACTTCACAGCATAGATGGCATCATGAAGAAAGAACATTATGGAGAAATACTGAAGCAACATCTCAAGACATCAGCCAGGAAATTAAAACTTGGCCAGAAATGGGTCTTCCAAACAGACCATGACCCTAAGCATCCTGCCAAATTAGTTAAAATGTGCTTTAAGGACAACAGAGTGAATGTTTTGGAGTGGCCATCACAAAGCCCTGATCTCAATCCTATAGAAAATTTGTGGGCAGAGTTGAAAAAGCTTGTGTGAGCAAGACAGCCAACAAATCTGACTCAGTTACACCAATTCTGTCAGGAGGAATGGGCCAAAATTCCTGCAAACTATTGTGAGAAGCTTGTGGAAGGAGACCCAAAACATTTGACCAAA